ACAGTCACCTATACACATGAACATCACCTTATCATGTGACGCCAATAATACCGGTCTTGCGTTGCATTCCAGAGTTCTAAGATGTCATGCATCTTATATATAATTTTTATACCTTATCGACCCTTCAATCGATACACAGCTTACAAAGAAAGTTACTTGACCGATAATAACTGAGACTAACTGAGTTACTCGAGACGATTTTTTACAAAGTCTTAATTACGTAACATGATTCCTACTAATAATTTTCTAAGCCTACCTTCAACCTTCAGTAAACCTATACAAAAATAGCACAGAAAACATAAAACAAATAAATACACCGGCCAAATGAGATTTCTGTGGCTCCCATAACAGCTATTTTAAGATGCTAATTCTTAACAAAATAAAGCTTTTGCTTTTAATACAGAACAGATAACAATTGTTGAAAGCTTTTACGTTCGGACACGGCTTGCCATTAGCGAGCGTACGCTGAATGTAGAACACAAAAAAATGCTAAGCGCTTTACGCTTTACGCTCAAGTTGAATCTATATGGAGATACGGTTCCTATTAAAATAGTAGATTTGTGTATCGATTTTAATGCATTGTTTCAAGTTTGCACGTTTAGAGTAGACATGTGTAGGCACCTGACTTTATTGTCTTTGTCTATCTATATGCTCGCTTGAATTTAAAAAATTGCTTCTTTCACGTGGGATATATAATTGTATACCTATCTACTTGTACTTAGGGAAATATGTTAACAGTTGAAGAGCCTAACTACACCATCCGGTGAGATTATCGTGAAGATATACTTGAGAATAGATGCTGCTTCTACAAGCAACAGCTATTCTCAAGTATTAAAAACTGTTCAGATCTAATCTTTACACTGTTTTATATTGTTTATTTAAGTAATTATTTACTAAATAATTTATTTTTGTATATTGCTATTATTTGGTAGGTCCGAGGTCATCAATGTTTATTTCAATAGATATTTAATTGTAATTCTATGTATAAGCAATTTATTAAGTGTTTTTAAAACTAGGTGTACTATGATTTTGTTACTTTTAATTTTAAATTAATATTTTAATGCAGCTAAAATAAATTACATTTATAAAACAATGTACTTAGTAATTACTCGTTTTAGTTTTAAAAACTTGCACGATTTTGCCATCTGGCACCGTCTGATTTTATTACTTCGGCTCCAACTATCTGAACAAACACAACTGATTAAAAGCCGTTCACTTTCAACTTACCCAACATTGTTCGTACGTCAGCTTTCAAATGTTATAACTTGTCTAAGTTTAGATATTTAATTAAATTAATAATATTTTGGAGGTTTATATTTTATCGAATTAATTTATAGAATTTTGTCCATTTCATTACTTCATCGTTGTTATCAACATCATCATCATTATCATGATCATCAGCCAACTAGTGTGGACTGCCTACTACTGAACGTAGGCCTCTCCCAAGGCATGTCACTGGGCACGATCTTCAGCCCTTTTCTTCCAGTTATTACCCGCAACCCTACGTATGTCGTCGCTTCACCTAGCTGCTACTTAATTATGATTGTTTGTAGCAGTCTGGGTGTTTTGAAAAAATACTTATTTAAGTATTTATATAAGTTGTCTAGTACCTATAACATAAGTTCTGCTTAGTTTCCGACTAGATAACGCTGTGTGACTCACACCACATCCAGGGTTATTATTTTTATTTTATGCGCAGTTGTTATGGATAATAATGAAATGGTGCACCTGCTTACGCTAATGGTTTATGCTGGCGGGGCACTAGATCAGTTAGCGTATCATGGAAAATTCACCGTCAATTTATAGCGATGGTTTCAGGGAGAACCATATGAAGGTCAATCTGCATTAGCACATTACTACCAATGTGGTTATTAGTCCAAATTACTAACCCCCTCCACCTCAATTATGCGTAGTTTGTTTTCATAAACGGATATCATTTTACGAATAGTAACAATATGAAATGTCCGCATTACAAACACGGAATAACAATTAAGCTTAAAGTTAGAGAGAATACAATTATCAGTTCCATCGGGACGGTTGTTTATAAAACTTTTCCTAACTCTGATTTCTTCATTAACGCTTTATCCATCTCCTAATTGCAGATTGGCGGACATCCAAACTTCCGTACTGCGATTTTATATCGAGTATTCGTGGATTTTTCTTGTGGGAGAATTTGTATAATGTTTTTAGCTTGGTATAGTGTACGAAGTACCTTAGACGTACTTATGTTTAAAGACAAACCGCTTGTTTTGGAAATCGTAGGTGTAATTATAGACGAATTAGAATTACTACCAAATCACATTAAAATAAAAAATACGCAAAAGCCTAGAACTAGACTAATGACTTTTATTCCAAATTCAAATAGTATTATTTCTGTAGTGATTTATCATGATGATTTTGAGGGGTAACAGCATAGTAGTCAACCCGATTGTACATTGCTAGCGAGGCAGTCAAAAGCCTACAAATAATCCCCTTCCCTCGTCTGTGGTTGTTTTATATACTCTGTAGAATAGTCGGGGTAGGTAGTACTTGAAAAATGTACTGGACAAATGCCAAAATCAAATATCCGGGACACGCTACAATAGTAGGAAATCGTAGGCCGATATGTTATGCGGTAAGTTCGGGCCAAGGGGAAGGACCTTCGGGGCATAGATTATGAATAAAGAATGGGCGATATAAAAATACTGGTTATACTATATGTACCTAATAGAATAGTACCATACAAGGTACCTGCAGTAAGCAGTAGTTGTTCATGTCAATCAAATATTTTCGAAATAAATAGTAATAGAATTTTGCTTCAAAAAAATTAAAAAACAACTGCACCAATTTTAAAATTTGTTTTACTTAGAAAAAGATATTTTATTAGCGAAAAACAATCAGTACCGAATACTGGCCATTACCAGTGACTTCATATGCTTTTCGTCCTCGTAACATAATCTATCCAGCAGTTTAGTCGTGAAAATAAAGTTAAGATGTAGATGCAGATATCTATTTGTACCTATTATAATGTAATAGTAGTGTAGATACTAAATCTATCTTTATATTTATAAATATAAGGATGTCAACTTTGCTATTTAGTATTCTGTATTTATACACAATTTTTAAAAATTAATCAGAACAACATTTATATAAAAGAGCAACACGCAAGTTCCGTTCTAAGTATTCTTGTGATGAGACTGCGTTCCAAATTTGTGGTAGAATAAAAATATATAACCATTTAAAAGGACTTATATTAAGTTCATTTATATAAGCATTATTTCTGTTTCTATATACATTTATTTGTATAATGCATATTATATCTAACCTTTAGTGGATTAGGTAAAATGGTTAACTAAAATATATTTTATAGCTCTGGTTCTCATTTAATAGTCTATGCCTATTGAATATGGATACAGTCATTGCGTTATGTTAAACCAGAAACGTATACGTATGAAGTATTGTATTTTATAGCTTTATGTTGGATTATTTCTTATAATACACTTGTGTTGAGTGCCTTTCTGAATATTAAGCGACTAGTACCCGTCCATGCTTTATCCGGGTGCTCATAACTTTGTCAGTTTTTTTTTAATCGAAATATTTCTATTCATGTAGGTCTATTACATATGCTTATGATTTTTTTCAAATAAAATATCTTTATTCATGTAGGTACAGTTAGGTACTGACTTATGATGTGTCAAATCTGCCGTCAATTCGGAGTGCTTTCGAGTTTGTAAGTAGGTACTGACAATAAATTGAACTCCTATTTTTTTTTAAGTGAGTATATGTATATTAACAAACTATGTCACTCTGGATAATGCACCTGTAGAACAATTTTTCAATTCGGTGCTTCCGGAATTTACCTTCAACCTTTATTTATTACCTTGTAATAAAATCTGCTCTTTTTCACTTCTCTCGCACACACATTCATTCTCATTCCACCGTAGCTTCACTAAGCTGCTTGGCGGCTGAAATAGGTAAGATAGGTATACCCAACGCAAACATATGCTACAACACAGCTCAGTAAGTCGATAAAAATAATTGTCTGAAAATTACCTCTATTGCTACAAACATTAAGAACGATTTTCGCTTACACTAGTATATTGTGCTGCTGTACTAATTATCATTATTAAACAAATAGAAACAACCTATATAGAAATAAACTTTTGATTAGAACAGAACATTTTTTAATAGTCTACCGCTCATTTGGAAAGCAAGAAACAGCAAGAAGAACGAAAAAAAAACTTGTATGTTGTTCTTTTAAATAGATATTATTCAGCTTAGCATATTTAAGAGTTTGTGTAAATAGAAATTGAGAAATAGATAGATTCGCCTAGGGCATGGACCCGTGTTACCTACCTCATGATGACTAGGGTCCTCACAGGACACTGCAAATTGAACAAACCTAGGTCAGGCCAAACTGAATAGGAAATGCTATTACATATCCCATGTGGTTGTAGCCCACTCATGCATAAACGTAATATCTCCTTTGGAAAGTTTACACTATCCTGAGGGCATATAAACCATCCTTCTCTTCTTAAGAATATCCTACAATTCATCTCCCTGACGGGTCTAGGAAAAAGGGCGAGCACAATAGAGCGATCGCTACAGGTCCTGCACCTGACCCAAACAACCCAATAAAAAATATATACCCCCCCTAAATCCGGGTCTGGCAGTCCACCACCAGTCCCTACATATTATGCAGTAGGTATTCTACTGAATATAAATAACAGACTAATTATATACTCATCTCTTCTCCCTCAATCTTTATATGTTAAGTAACATAATACTAAATTAATGGCTCTATACAAACACTCGTTGTGAAGGTTGGATGATCGCGAGCACAATGGAGCTCTTATAATTTCTCTGAGTCATCTTTAAAACAAAGACTCAACTGTTTGTGTGGATAACGGCAACGTATATAGGCTGCTTGGGAAGTTGGGATGATGTTAACGGAGAAATTATTATATTAATCATTATCACGGATTTTAAATATAATAATGACATATTAATTTTGTCTATGATCTTATATTATCAAGTGATGAAATTATTCACAATAAAAATTATTGATCTAAATTCTTGAGATAAACATCAATGGCTTCACATTTATTCGTGAATATCTTCCTTATCAGCAATATATTGGATTATGTCTTTTGGTCTAACAAGCCTCTCTGCATCAGCATCAGGTATTTCAAAACCAAATTCATCCTCCATAGCCATAATGACTTCAACATGGTCGAGGGAATCGAGTCCCAGATCAGTCATGAAATGGGATTCTACAGATAACTTTTCAGGATTAATTTTGTCATAAAGCTGTAGTACAAGGATCACTCTACTTTTAATAATTATAACCTTGGACAATTAACACTAGTAATCTTTTAGATGCATTTGAGTATTGTAAATAAGGCATGGGTCAGCTACGAAATTACTACACTCTTTAAATAGAGTCCATGATTGTTAATTTATTGTATATGTATGTGCAGTTATAAATAAATAATTAAATATATTTCATTATAATAAATAAATTTTATAAAATAAAATGGATCTATTTTACTCTGGAAATTAACCCTTCTTTCATTATAATAAATAAAATTTATAAAATAAAAGTAGGCTATTTTACTCTTTATAATATTAGCTATGAGCGAGTGAAAGTCCTGTTAAAATCAGACTAGCCGTTTCGGAGATTCAGACGAACAAACAAAAAATTTAAAATTATTTTGTTGTTATAAGTGCCGAATATACTTTTATGTACATTTAGTTAAAAGCTGTACTTAAATTTTATTTATTTGTATAGATAAATTATAATGATTTGAAAAGAGTATTTATTACCACTGTATTGTCTGTTCTTCTCATTCTTATATGAAAGAGACAATTGGCGTAGTGGTTATCTTCCAGAAAGATCAAGAAATCGATTCTGATACTACAATTTTTTAATTTGTTTTACAGAAATTTATATTTCCGGCAAACTCTCAAGCGATAGAAATGCCTATAACGAACCAAATCAATCTGAAGAACGGCGGTAGCAATCACTACATTTTGCCGAGAGTATGTCTACAATTTCAATTGGATAATTATACTGAAGGTAGGGAAACAAAAATATTAGCACAAAAATTTTTACTTTGGTAAGCGGCTAAAATGCTCTTCACGAATAAATTATTTTTGATTTCATTTCATCGTAGAAACATTAAATTCTTGGCAAAATGTGAGCATATCAAAAGACAGTTGATAAAATACTAGATCGAGTGCTCTAGAATTACAGTCATGAAGCCATATTTATCTTCGTTACAATTATTTTATTAAACTTTTTAGTTTATTTCAGTATGTCTACTTTATTATTTCAGTATATCACTCAAACATTCAAGTTTGTACCAACGAAATCTGAATATTTCTTGCAAAATTGAAGTAACTCAGACCAGCCTGTAGATAATAGAGCAAACTGCTTCCGAAATTATGATTATACGGAACTTTCGTAGGGATCCGCGCATTTAGTTTCTCCAACGACTACGTTCTGCGTCCTTTGTTGGAAGTTTAACAATTGTTCCGACCAACGCAACTTCATCTGTGTGATGCTCTGAGATTGATATCGAACAAAATCTTCATTCTTCTTAATTCGAATTAGACTTGGCTTATGAAATACTCGCTTTTCCCGGTGTCTCAGCTAGAAATTTATAGCCTACTAGCTACTCGCCCCGGCTTCGCACGAGTGTACATGTATTATATATATAAACCTTCCTCTAGAATCACTCTATCTATTAAATAAAACCGCTTCAAAATCTGTTGCATAGTTTTAAAGATTTAGGCATACAGAGGGACGGACAGACAGCGACAGTGACTTTATTTTATGTTATGTAATGAAGATAAGGGTCATTTTCGTCCAGATTTTTTTATATAGTACACGTACCGTCGCGAATAGATGAAGATCAGTGTTTGCTCTTTGAGTGATACTCCACACTGAGCTACGAGCCATTTTGTATTGCTGTGAATTACCCATGGCTGTTTACTCATGTTAAATCGAAAAAATAGAAAAATAATAGAAAATAAATTATTCAAATAAACTTACTTCGAAGCACTTTTGAATAGTCATCATTTTTTTATTAATCTATATGTTCTCATTCGGAAAGCTGTCTCATCACAAAAAGAACAGCAAGAAACTTGCGTGTAGCTCTTTTAAATAATTGTATTCATGCTTTACATTTTTAAGTTTAAGTGTGTGAATACAAACTAGCAATTAACACTAATTCAATTAAATACTCAAATAGAAAAAATATTGAATATAAAACCAATTGGTTAAACAATTAATAAGAGGAAATCAGTCATAGTGATTAGAGCAGACCAGTCCCTACAAGCAGAGAATTACTTTGTTCCGAATTAACTGGTACTATTTAACTTTTAGTTCTGTATCCCCACACGCTGGAACGTAAGTGGTTTTGGACTGTGCGGTTTAAGAGTTTCTTCTGTACACTTAGATTGTGGAATGAACTACCTGCCGAGGTTTACTGAGACTACAGCATGGAGTTTTTCAAGAAGGGTATATTAAGGGTTGGCAAAGCGCACGTGACCCCCAAGGATCAACGCGGGGGGGTAGATGCTTATTTGCCACCGTCGTAATATAAAAAAAAAGTGTTATTATTGCAGATAATGTTGTAAAGTTACCTATATATTGGTGGCATCGATGGTCTAAATCGCTATTAGCACACCTTTATTTACGATGGTCGCTGGTTCGATTCCTCGTACTATGCAAACATTCATGAGTTTGACTGTTTGCATCGGTCTGGCTTTTTTCTATGTATAATATGTATGTATTTACAATATGTATTTTTTTAAAGTATCTATGTATTTGTATCAGTCATCTAGTACCCCCAACACAAGCTATAGCTAGCCTAACTTGGGTCTAGACGGCGCTGTGTGAATTGTCCTGAGATTATTATTAAATACATATTTATGTATATAGTAAAGTTATCTAAACAACTTTTGTTCACTGCAAATTACCCCATACAGGGGTCATATTTTACCTCTAAAAATATTGCAACGAAAATCATCATTGCACTCAATTATTCCATAGTTGAGTGCAATGACCATTGACTCACCCGTCATACGTGAATGAGAGCTGTTTGTGATGAATGATCTGTTTTGATTATAACCGCAAAATTAAATATTTCTATCGGTAGATTTCAGACTCCGACCTGACGGTAGATTTCACATATCATAAGAGTCTGTTATAGATCTATATGAATAAAGATATTTTGATTTTGATGTCGTTTAATAAAATACATGAGATTACATAACCTATATAATTTGGTGAACTGGGTGATCTAGCGGTTTAGACACAGCCTTACATCCGATGGTCGCGGCTTCGATTTTTGGCATAGTAAATCCATTTGTAGACATGAGTATGATTTCACATATTGGTCTGGGTGTCTTCTTTGTCTAGTACCCATATGTACTGAATATAAAGATCACTAGTATATGACACAATAATAATAATAATAACCGTAGAAAATTCACAACACCATCTTATATAGCTTACATGGAATGCCAATGAATAGACAAATATAGAATAGAATAGAAAATCATTTATTCAAATAAACTTACATTGAAGCACTTTTGAATAGACATTACATTTTTTTTTTTTAATCTCATCACAAGAAGAACGAGCAAGAAACTTGCGTGTTGCTCTTTTAAATAATTTTATTATTACTTTACATTTTTAAGTTTAAGTGTGTGAATACAAATATATTTTAACGTGCAAGAATCGAATCCGCGACCGTGAAGTGACGCAACTAAACTGGTAAACCTCTAAGGACGTCTAAGTATTTGAATATTTCGCTAATTTGGAAATCAAAGGCAATTTACTTGATGGCCAACGATATACTAAGTTAAAGGAGACCAAGTTACTGCCTCACAATTACGAAGTTTAACAAAGGACAGGGAAGTCGGTCGGAAACTAAAGCGAATCCTTAAAGTTCTGAATTATCATAATGTTAGAGATGGCCTGATCGTGCTCACTGTGGACTAGTATATGATCTGATGACTATATATCATTACTTTGTTTGTTTTTTTTATTATACACAAACGGTCAATACCTAAAACACCTCCGGTTAGCCGACGATATTGCGTTGCTAGCGGAAAACTCACAAGACTCAGCTAAAATGCTCAGCAGACTAAGTCAAGAAACTGGTGGAGTAGGCCTGAAGATGAATCTGCAGAAAACTAAGTGGACGGGTCTCTCAAACACAATATTGGTTTCAATTCAGGGAACCACGTTAGAACACTGGAAACAGTATGTCTGTCCTACTAGGCCAGAAAATCCGACTAGATAGATGTAGCTTTTTCAATCTGCAGAAAACTACGACCAATGCGATGATGGGTCTGACCCGTAAAATGATGATACTTCCATATAACCTCCCTTCTGCCATTTCAACCCCTTACAACCCTTTTTTCGCATTAAATGTAGCCTAAGTCCATCCTAAGTCTAATATAATACATGCTGATTACACAGATAGTCATAGTAACTATCTGTGTATTCAGCATGAAAGCGAGACAGACAGACCGACAGACAGAGTTACTTTCATATTTATAATCTTATATATAAAATTCTCGTGTCACAGTTTTTGCTCTCATACTCCTCCGAAACGGCTTGACCGATTCTCATGAAATTTTGTGAGCGTATTGAGTTGGTCTGAGAATCGGCCAACATCTATTTTTTATCCCCCTAAATGTTAGGGGTAGTCCACCACCAATTTTTTTTTTCATTTTTTAGACAAAATTTTTAGTTTCTATTTTTTTTGATACAACATACAAAAATACATACAATCCTAAATTTTCACCCTTCTATCATGAACCCCTATTTTTTATAGCGTTACTAATTTATATGGCAAAACAACGTTTGCCGGAACAGCTAGTATTATATAGATTTGAACTGGTCCTGATTTTTAATATCATCTAATTAATAAAGTTTAAAGGTTGACCACCCCTTGATGGGGGTAAATTAAGAAGGACGTATACCGGAGATACCGCTGTGGTTCTCCTCAATTTCAGGGAAGCTAAACTATTTGTGCATGATTCATTAGCAAACATAACCAACTATTTCACAGGAGGGTCCTAATCTCGTATGGGTAATTACGTAAACAAAGATAACCCCTTACGATCAAATGAATCTATAATATAGAGCAAGTTAACCTGTTGTTGTCTTAACCAGAGTTCAATGTGAGGTTAAATAACATTGTCGATGAAAAGTATAATTGACGAACGTGCAAAGCAATAGTTGTTCATGCACGAGATCTTCATTTAATGTTAGACATAGACACCTATAAATAAACATAGTGAATAATTTGGCTTTTTAAGAAAAAGATAATAACAAAAAAAGTAATTACTTCTAGCCACCTCTCTTCAATTGAATCTGTATACTGAAGTGGACGGTAGGGAAACAAATATAACATAAAATATTTTACGATCATAAGCGGCTAAAATGTCCTACATGAATAAATGATTTTTGAATTTAATATTGAATTTAACGTAATCATAAAATTACTGTGTTAATTTTAACGATCTGATGCCTTAGTAATAAGACAGTGCTGTATCCTTAAGGCAAGATGTCCATTTCATCTCTATACAAAACGTGCTAATGCGAAATTTTTCTACAATAATAATAAAAGTCGATTAAATTTTGTCCATAGAATAAGTAACCAACTAATACCAATAGAAATTATAGTATATTAGATTATATATTGTGTATATTACAATAACGATAAATATCTTTATAGTTACTATAATAATAGATATATATATATATTAAGGTTTCTTAAGGGTCGGCAACGCGCACGTGATACCCCTGGTGTTTCAGGCGTTCATAGGCTACGGTAACCATTTACCATCAGATGGGCCGTATGCTTGATTGCCACCATAGTAGTATAAAAAAAAAAGATTAGGCCGAATATTAGTTACATTAATTATTTTAGATCAAGTCGAAATTTTGCCGTAAATATTTACGGCAAAATTTCGATTGATAGTATTGCTATCGCGCTTTTGTGTGGGGAGACAGGGTCTCTGAATAGAAATAGAACGAGTGAAAAACCTTTATCGTAATTTTAGCGTTTAGTTTTAAGTTTAGCGTGCATGTACTCACCAATTCTTGATAATCGTAAGTTCCACACTCACACGCTACAAACTTTATATATTTGTATATAAATGTGTTCTGTCTATTATTATACATATTATTATTATTATAACTATTGTATATATAAAAAAATAATTGTATAATCGTTAAAAGGTAACAAACAGACAGGCAGACATACCTACTTTTACATTTATCCTACTAATATTATAAACGCGAAAGTTTGTGACGGATGGACGGTTGTTACTCTTTCATGCAAAAACTACTAAATTTTAATGAAACTTTTAAGTAATTTAGCTTATACATCAAAATAACACATAGACTATAATTTAAAAAGTGATTATGTAAATTGGTTGAAATATAATAAATATCAAGTAAGTGTGATGCAGACGAAGATACGCGGTTCAGCAAGTAAGTAATATTAATATTGAAATTGTATATGTACTAGTATAGAAAATAGAGCGTATATTTAAACGTATTATCAGTTAGTAAAGGTAATATAAAAATTCAACTTAGTTTAAGACATAATCACAGAAGACCGAAGAGCTGGCAGCTACCTTGGACAAAGAATTAGTCTAGCTATTCAAAGAGGGAACGCTGCCAGTATCTTCGGAACGTTGCCTAAAGGGACCCCTTTTAATAATATATTTTAGTCATCATATTATATATTTTTTTAAGCTTTTTAATTTTAGGTTCTTAGCTGTACAATTAGGTTATGTAAATACTAGTAATAAATTTATTTTAAAAGTGTAATGATGTGTAAAAAGTTTAGACAAATAATAATGTTATTGTTTTTCTCAAACATAATGAATTCGTGTTTCATATTGATGTTAAAGATAATGATTACATTAATA